CTGCTCATACTATAAATATTTACATTTTGGCTCATCTGTGGTTTTTGTTGGATAAACTCTTTTGGGGCAGTTGGTGAATGAATCACAAAAATGATTATATGTTCGTTGAGTTGGGAGTACATTGTACCAAGTTTAATAAGTTCGACTGAGAGAACAATTTTTGATGACTCAACAAAATTTACCTGTGTATGTCAGGGGGGGAGGGAAGGGAACTTGCAATGCACTTCATTCAATTTCTGAGTGAATCAAGCTATTTTTTTTATACTTTTTTGCATTCAGTCATCCATCCTACCATTTGTCTTACATTGTGAAATTCAAGCTGCTGATCTAAGACAGGTAACTTGTTGCCACTATCCTCCGGTAGACTTTGAAAGTAACACTGAATCACTCCTTGTTTCACACCCTCTCGAACAGAACAAACAAGAAAAAACAAAATAATCATGGACCTGAGATCGGATCTGATAAGTAATGCAGTCTCACTACTTCAGTTAAATCAGGCGTGCTCTCATAATAAGGTATAAACAGACCTTTTATAGTTAGACTTTTCACTACGGTTAATTAGTTTGTCTCGCGCGAACTTTAAAATACACACTAGTGGAAACTCATGTTGCTTGAAATGATCATACCGTATTGACAAATACTTGTGGTTATCCTTGCAAACAGCCAAATGAAAGCAACATTTGAAAAGAAATTAACCGTCTAGCCCAATTGTAGTAAGCCGAGGTATGAGAAATACAAACGGTATTTGTCTATAAAACTCACGGACAACAAAATTACCGCATCAGACTCCCTTACACACCTAGACTACAATTAACTAACGGGCTTGTAGTCAGTATTTCAACAGACCAACATTCACTGCAGTGACTGAAGAACTTTAAAAACCTTTAAGGTCAGGTGGCAAGGTGGCAGGAGAAATAGGAATTTACCCGCGAGCACCGACCCGAACTCAGCCACTCCAACGCCAATACCCGATCCCGGATTCCGCACGAAGTATAAGCGGCCTTATTGACAACAACTGTCAAACAAGTTTCGAGAGACCACTGTTCAGAAAGCTAAGGGTCATTTTCAGATTATCTGCTGAAACGGTTCACATGTTTGAATTGGAAATGAAATCGAAACTGATCGGAAGTCATTTGTGCCGGGATGATTTTTAATGGTCGAATCGTATGATTCCTACAAACTAACTGCAGTGTGGTTATGGGCTGGGGGATGTTGGTTGAACAACTCATTCATTTTGTGCTTATCGATCAACTAACAATAGACTAACAAGCAAAACATCAAAAGTATACGATAAAATAAACAACAAATGTTATTCTTGGGAGAAATGGAGGATTTGATTTGTTTTCATGATGAGTTCGTCGTGTAAATGAGGCGTGAGCTGAACAGCTGGGAAGCACTGGAGAGCTGTTTCGACCTGGTTGGGTTTCATCGATATTGCTATTGAATACATTTATTAGGCAACGATTGCCTAGAATACCAAGTGATCACCGGTTTGATTGGGATGCGCATGGCCAGTCAACCGTTATGTCTAGCAAATGTCGGTCGCACGGTCGCCCGAATGGCCCACACCTACTTCAATCTCTCAGACAAATAATCTTGACCTAGAATGCTGGTTCGGCGAGTCTGATCTGGCTGGACTATATCGGCCAAACTTGTTCATTTTTCTATCCGACAACGTAAAATCTCTCAGAGAGTCTCAACGACAACCTGACCGAACACTGTAAGGGGACTTTGTATGATCAGTTGAAAAATCTTCCCTGAAACGTGATATACAGTGAGAAGTTTGTCAGATCTGATTCACAATATCGCCGTGGTATTTATAAAACCATGTCGCCATTTTAAGCACAATCAATCGCCTAGATGGAATGGAGTTTGTCAAAGTCGGTCGGGGATGATGTTGGTGATTGTGTACCAGTGCTTTTTGAACCCTACTTCCCACTACTATTAGGAGTTCAATTCCATTTGGCGACTCATCAGACGGCTAGAGGGAGTGGTTTCTCCAAATGGATAAATTGTGGCGGGGATGCTTAGACAAACTTGTAGGTAGATATTTGCTCCTTGTCCCTTTCAGGCTGCGTGACCGTGCGCATGCGTACACGCACACACTGCAGCGTCTCGTCCCAAATGACACGTGCATTAAATGTATCCCTCACGGTCTTCGAGGAGTGTACGACAGATGGGCATAGTGTGTATGTAGTGGAAGGGAGGCTAGGGGGATCGGTGATGAATGGATCGACAACCGTATCGCCTCTGCCGCCAAAGCCGCAAATTCGAGCATCAACACAGTCAGTTCTTTTGTCTTCCTGATGGAATCACCCCACACCCTGTCACCACTGCTATATCCATCTTGTCCTACTGTGAATTCTCTGACCCGTTGTTTCATTTAATTGAAGTACTCTGTCCTCAACCACGGGGGAGTGTGTGGGGTGGGTGAATGGATGGACGGAACAGTAGTCAATCCGTACTGTACTACATACTCACTGGAATTTGTGCACGCATGTACACAGATTAACTCGTGTTTGTACAACGACCACACGCACACATGTGTATCATGTCGAAACACTCCCAAACAGACAAATTCAATATATGAATAGTCCTCGATGAGCATGTTCTTCACGAATGGTGAGTCGGACAGACAACGAGAAAGACCCTGATTGTACGTACATATATACAGGGGAACCATCAGAACAAGACCAACCATAGCCGTTTTCTTCTAATTATTAGCACGGACAGTGAAACAAAACAAGCAAGCCTCTTGCGCGAGTTCAGTGAAGTAAATCTGTAAATCCGCGCGAATCATGCAGCTCAACCATGGATTAATAATCAGGTTTAAAATGATCTTTCAATTCATGATTTGAAGCGAGTGTCACACTTCCAGTGTATTCTTCTAACTAAGAGCACACCAAATATAACTACATCATAATCAATGAAACACTTCTTGCACATTAAAAGTCAGATATGATACAGTGAATTAATCGGAGTAGAGCTACACGATGGTCAAGTGCTCATGAACTCTGCCCAGGATTTTCCGAGTTAGACCAATGCCCACAATATATATGACAAATAGCTCAACAAATAGCTCCCGAACTTTCCGGTTCATGTTTCTCGGGTACAGTATATGTATAAGTAAGTCAACTGATAACAGACAGAGAAACTATTGTGAGCCGAGTGGTAGTTTCTTTCTCTCAATCTGTCGTTTATGCTAATAATTTAAAAGACAGAAACGAAAACTGAGTTAAAATGTTGTGATCTACAGCACGTATATTCCAAACCTGTTACATATCAGTAGCAATCTGCTTAAGTGCATTAACCCTCTAAGGGATCGAACTCAAACCAAGCCCAACAGACGGAACACAGGCAGTTGCGCCGCTACTCAATTGACTCATGATCAACTGATCAGACACATTCACTGTGCCCATATACACGCGCGATTGCACAGTCCATTTGTACAAACCTACCAGAAATCACCATTCCCGTTCATCATCATCAATGGACTGTAGAACTCGTTAAGTAACAACCCTTACCGGAATATTTCGTTCAAGAACAGGCCCCGGAACAATTCACGCTGGAGTAGATGAACGTGCACTACACTAAGGTTGACATAGGTACAAAATATGTCTCATTTTTTCAGTCCGTGCAATGCTGATTTCATAGGCGAAGCACACTATTGCATTGACATCAAATCCTCACCGCTCGGTCAGTTCTTCTGGGCACCAAGGAACCAAGGATTTGTGTAAAACCATCATCCTAAGACTAAGCTCAATGAAACTGTTTATGGTTGGATTTGGTTCATGTTACACCAAAGTGTGAAACTCGGTGACGTACTACTTGCGTGACTTGGAGAAACGGTCACTTAAACCGAATAATGGGCATTTTTGTCTGTTGGTCGGGGAAAGAAAACACAATTCAGACTATCATTATGGTAACCTGGTGGCGGTAACTGCTCATAGGGAGCTGCACGCGTTCAACATCACGTGATCGGTGGAGCGGACTTTGCAGCAATGTGCCCCGTGATGCCAATACTTCAAATAAACGAGAATTTTATCAAATCAGCCAGTTAAAATTTCGCAATTTTTATTGAAACACAACCAAATTGTCTTTCATAATAAGAAAAACTTGGTCGGTTGTGGCGGTAAGTAAGTATATTTTTTTAACGTATCCGTATCCATTTTGAATGACGACGGTATAGTTCGTGAACCATCAGGGGTGTGCGGAGCTAGTGCTTGAAGATCGGTGGTCTGGTGAAATTCCTGGTCTTTCATTGGTGGTCACTCAGATGATCAGTATTATGGCAGATTGTTTTCTTTGCCAACTGCTTCGAAGAACTGAGTAGTTTGGGTGGGTGAAGTTGGTCTGTTAAGTATTCACTTGAGTGAAAGTCTGTTCATAGCACTGAATCATGCTCACTTCATTGGGTTACGGACCATTTGACGTGACTAACTTGTGTGCTCCAGGACCCGGATTATCACGTTCGGAGGAAAGAACGAATCAGTAGTTGCATGATTGATGAAATCTTGTCATGGGAAAAGGTGAGAAGATTCAATAGGATCAATGGATCCGGGGGAATCACAAATCTTCTCGTGGTGTCCTTCACAAATTGCATGAACGTGATAACTACATCCACGGTCACCCATACGCTCTGGCTGAACAATGAAAGGGCTGTAGACCAAACGGAACAATGACTGCACAAACAACCCTTTATTATTCTAAATTATAATCAACTGTTAAGAAGACAATCATTTTTTGACCAAGAAAAGTAAGAACACTGTCCAATGGGATAAGTTTGCAAAATTTTCTGAGTGATAAAATAGGGAATAAGATCAAATTTCACAGTCACAAGTTTGGAAAGAAATGTGGCATCTAGCAAAGGAGTGATAAACTGACACGACCCAGTACACAAACGTACACATGCATGTCTGAGGAATGATCAGTCGATCAATCGATTTGATTCTGCTTTGTGATGACGAGTAAAAAACTGAGAATGGGGCGGATGGAAAATCTCAGTCTGGGACAGCAGTTGTGGGCTTCCACAGGCGTTTCGGTCCGGTTTGAAATGATGTACGGTGACAATAGGACACAGGGTCCAGACTTTGCCCCGTGTGCTCATCTTCTGTCCCAAAAGTGTCCGTCCTGGACAGCGAATATGGATGATCCTGTTGTTCCATCAGCTGCGACCAGCATAACGGTGTTAATGACCTCTTGTTTGTATACTGGAGGATCAGCTGGCCTGGGGACAATGTGGACGATTTACTTCCGGTAGCCTGTCCACTCCGCCTGTGAACAAACAGTATGAGGTTAGTTAACAGGGTAAGTCACTGCGTGCACTACTTCATAAATATGAGTAGATAACAGAAAGGAAAGTGAAAAAGTAGGTTCCTACCTCGTGCCAACTAGTTGGATTTGATTTTTTCCCTTTCGAAGGAATTTATGCCCAATTTGAAGATATGCTAGTTGTGATTTTGGTTTAATGCGCTGTTCGCCTGTTGATTGATCCGATTCATCTTCGGCCGGTTTGAGTGCTAGGGGGTCTCGTTTTGGTTCCGTTCTCGGTAAATCCGGTGGCATTAGACTGAAAGTAAAATCATCATAATGATCAATCATAAAGGTGACCTCGATCCGGGATAATGATAAGAGAGAATATAATGTTCAGTAATGGAAATGTATGCATTCAGCCCTGAGGAACACTAAGTTTCCTAATTCTACAAGTGTAAAACGACAAATTGAGAAATTTAATCAAAACACTTGAACCATACCCGCTTGTGAGATAAATAATACCTGAAAATTTCGTGTGGCCATGAGGATAAGTCGATTGCAGGCAGTGAGAAGAGAAAGGTTATTAAAAGCCGACTGATGCAAACAACCGTATTTATGAACATTAGGCTTAAGGGAGTAGGATGTCAACCAGTTACAAAAGCTGGTCAAATAGTCTTGGAGAGGGGACTGATTGACGGGGAATTGGTTTTGTGACATTCAATAACGGCATTACACTTGCAATCAATTAAACTGCGGATAATAGGAAGATCCTTTATGTATATTGAGAAAAATAAAAGAGAGAATGGCATCGCGAAACTCATCAGAGTTAATGGGAAGAGCCGACGAACGTTTAATTCCGTAGGAGGTATACTGGTTTCGCTTTTTCAAAGTACTCAAGAACAACATCCAAGAACACCGAATGCCGCAACCAAACGGGAGATAGATACTGCATGGCGACCGGATAGTAAATGCTATTATTGTCAATGGTACTGGCTGTTTTCCAGAGTTAATCTTTACAGTTTACCTGCATACATAGCACTCAGTTCATTTAGTCCATAGTTTATTTGGGACTTGCCCGACTCCAGTTTCTCCCTCTCTCATGTGAACTGCCAAACAGTGGTGTATATCCGCCCACCCAACTAGGGTTTCGGAACAAGGGATTCCTCGTGTAGAGAGTATGTGCTACTGCCACTGTACTTACTAGCCAACACTGAGGCTGATAGAATTGCCGATGGTGATCCAGTTCCAATGCCAGATTTCTGGTCAATAGAATCGATACCCCCTTCCTCCTAGTTGATATACTACTTGTGATTAGACGATTGCAGAGCGCTCAGGTTGTATTGTGAAAAAATCGAATAATTGGACTTAGTATCACATAATTCAAAAGGATAATCTCCAAATCGGCAAGATAATGTTGACTGTTCAGTCCATGCCATTTTAAATAAAACAATATTGAGTTCAAGCACTCTGGAAGAATCCCATGCCCCCTGTTGATAGTGTTTATCTACTGTTGTTTTCTATTTTAAACATGTTTACACACTCCCTTTGACGGTAATCGTTTAAGATCAGTTCATTTCGGTTTTTACAACCACTAATCGTACACTTTCATGCACTGGTTTGAGTTTATCTCCTACAAGAGGCAACTCTATTCAAGACGGGATTATCACCAATCATTCTAATCTGTTCATTTTTAGTGTGAAATCTATTTCTATCTATTGTTGCCTTCTTCAAGTGAAGTGAAGTGAAGTCAATGAATCGCTTTGTACACCTCGAGGGCTGAATATTCAGCGGCCACGTAACCGTAATGTGTTAAACATGGAAAATATGGTACAGTGATTTATGAATTAATGGACAACAACAACAACAACATAAAACCCGTGGCGTACCGCGGTATCTACGGTCAGTTTAAATCATCATCTTACGCAGATTACCTGCAACGAGTTCAAAATGAGTGAGAAATTTAGCGAAATACGGAAAAATAGAACGCCTGTAAGCTTCTGTATTTATCTTTCTAAGAACGGGTGGATGAATAAGAAGAACCCTGACTAAGATGAGGAAATAGAGAATGAGAGCAATCCGATAGGATCTTCTGGGATGATATTTGAAAGTCTTTGAAGCGGTGTGTTACGACGCATAGTAGCCGATCGTCTCGAGGACTATGACTAAAAACCGAGAGGAAGGGCGATGATTTCATGGTTCTCGCTAAATAGACCGAAAAAGGTGACCCATGGAGCCAGTGAGGCAAAAAGAAAGCAAAAGCAAGGCGCCTTATGATATGTATAGAAACATAGAACATGAACCTTCCGACTTTCAGGAACACGTTAATGTATATATATATAGTATATAATGTAGGCCAGTTGGGGGTGAGATTAGCAATAACGCCAGGATATTCGATAGATGGTTGTCTATCCCTCTGATTATTCAAGATGAATAAAGAGGGCTGACAGTTCATCTTGCGATCTTTGAAAATGGAGATTATTACATCATAACATTTTCGAGGGTTCATTAGAAGGTTTTTTTGTTGAAACCATGCCACAATTTCTGTCATTTACCCTTTTAGAATAAGCTGTGGCTGGGTTTCGGTAGGCTAATCCAAATATTATATCGTCCGTGTACTTGATAAGAAGCATAGAAAAAAATGAAATTGGAAAATAGGAAGGGGAACAAAATATTAGCTTGCAGTACGCCTCGTATACGGACCAAAAATTTACTCCCCTCTAGCGTTTTGCTAAACTGAAGCAGATTGTAGTAACCCACCCAAATCGTTGATCTCCTACCAACGCTCATCTCAATCTGTCTTTGAAAATGACCTTTCCATTGTTTTCGGTTGCCTTCCCTCCATCATCCGTGATCATTTTCGCTGGCACATGCCATTCTCAACCAGTGACGTCCATACGGTGACTCTGTTTTTACACTAAGGTTAAATAACCTACTCTCTATTGAAGTTTTTGAAAAAAAACAGAACGAAGTAGCTTAGGAACAGGAAGATCCTTTTGCAGTACATCACCTATCCCATGGGAACAAGTGTGAGCTGAAACGTCTGAACGAATCGTTTACGGACAACTGTTGGAAAAGGAGAATGACGTCATTTTTGGCAAGACATCCACCTTCCCTACGGACGACATAAGCTGCTCAGTTTTACAAGGCTGATATAAGCAAGTTGTGTTAGGTGTCGATCCGCTCATTCTCTGACAAGCTTCTCTCATCAGTCCCATCAGGACCATATAGGACTAGCTATTTTTATAGAAGAAATTTTCAAGCTCTTTCACACCTCCAAATCAGAAGTTGGCTTTCATGATCTAACTTCCTCACTCTTCAAGTATGGTGCTGCCTCATTATCTAAGGTGATGACAGATCTCGTCAACAAATCCGTCGATATCGGCTTCGTTTTTAATCCGTGTTAACCTGTTGTCAGTGTCTGCCAATGCTCCAGAAAATAATTTAGACTTTGCCTCCAACGATTGTTCAAGTAGTATATTTATAAATAATGATCATTTCGATTCCCTATGCTACAGCTGATATCAACGACAAAACAACAGAATTTCGATGTCAATCACTTATTTGCTCAAATACTATTGGCTTTCAATTTGTTCATTCATGTTTAATAATGTAACTTTCTGTTTGGTTTTATGGCTTGTTTATTTTATCTCTCATTCTGCATATCCAAGTTTGATATTGACCGTACGCTGACATCATTTGACCTGATCGTTAGTTCGTTAGATTTTATCATATGCATATCGAATATCAAATATTGTAGAACCACGGTTTATGTAGAATTAAAGTAACTTAGCTATAAATCTGTTTTTTGCATCTTTCCAGACTGATGGTTTATCACTGCGGCAGTTTATACAGTCCCCACCCCTAAAAATTCTACTGCTACAAAAATGGTTGGATAAAAATCCAACCATTTTCATTCTATTGCTATCACTTCCCCAGGGTTAAAACTTTTCAAATTTACTACTCTCATCCTTTCATGTTGTTAGTTAAGTGTCTCTCACAATCCCCTCCCCAGTGCATACACAATTAACAGGCCCACCTCAGACGTACTGTGTTCTGTGGTACATCTCTTCACCAAATCTGTGAATCGCTTGTTGAAATCTGTTCGGTGCTTACTTCTTGATCATTTGTTTGTATTCGACTCAGTCGCTCCACCCCAGATTCTCCAAAATTAAGAGTTTTGTGTTTGGCAAGTGCAGGCTCTTTCAGGGTTGAACTACTGGCTCACTTCGAGAGATTTCAACCTAATGATTTGGTTAGGAATATATATCGTCCATTAGTAAACAGCTTTGGTGTACTGCATAGTACTATCATTTCCTCCATATTTGTTCGCTAGTCGTATTAGTGATCTGTCTGCTACTTCACCTACCAAACCTGTAAAACATGCTGATGATGTCGCACCATTCCATTTTATCTGTTCACCGAGCTTGACAATTTGCTTGCGAACGTATCATCACCATCCGGGGTGACATCTTCAGTGCCTGTGACGTTCTCTGGTGTCTCCTTCACAGTTAACATGCAGCCGTCTTCTCATATACGGTGTACTGTTGACAAAATAGGACGGTTGTCCTTCCCGACTGATAGTTTACGACAATCCGATGTCAAGCAATTTTTCATTTCATACTTTGTAGATCAGTAATTTTTTCTAATTATTCTTTACTAGTCATTTTCCCGGGCTTACTTAAAAATACTTGATAGCTCACCCTCGTAACGTAGTCATCATCAATCGCGTTTCCCGTCTTCTCTCAGGGTAGTTTTCTTCTTGTGATCTTCCCATTTGGCCATAATATATTGACATGCATCGGAAAACTTTTTCCGGAGTAAGTTCTAGTGAAAACTTGTTGACTGCAGGACGATTTGTGCTACCAAGACTTGTGTTAACAACTCATATCTTCTTCATTGTGATTTATTCTTCTCTCATTCGCATTCTTCAGCTTTGTTCAGTTCTAGGTTTATTTCCTCCTAGAGTCAACATAATGCACAAAACTTCTCTTATTCCGTATAACTGGATCATGTTCACACTGACAAAAGTAAAGTTGCTACTGAAGTACAGATGAAACTTTTAAGGTAAATAATATTTCTCCCCTTTTGCTTGCAATCTTCGTTACCTGTACTTTCACCGGAACGGAAATAGGGTGTTTTTTCTTTACTGAAATGTAAGCATGCCTGCTTAAAAAAGGACTTTCAACAAAATACAACACAACAGAATACCACAAATTTCGTTGGAATACAATGCAAAACGATCCCCGTCCCTGCTGAATTGATCATTGAAACTTCCAAGAGCGACTAACTCCTTCCAGCAAACACGGTCATTAAATCATTTACTAGCACGCCGACAAAAAACGCTATTTGGTTTTGTACCAATGATAATTCATGGGCTCTTTTATTCCAAAGCGTGTCAAAATTAAGGGTAAGCCTATATGGATATTGTGGATTACCTGTTTGTTTGACGGGAGGATCCTAGAATAATTTATTGAGCTTTTTCAAAGGACATTCAGGAATTTTGCGGGTACGGTGTGTCACAGCGCATGTTTCTTTGTTTGTTACACTCATCGACACCTGCGGTGGTGTCTAACACAAATGCAGTTTTCGAGCGACAAGGCTACTAGATCGCGTTAATATACTCACAGCAACTTTTCACATATGGAAGTTCAAGTCACAAGTCCCCATATGGACAATGGAAACTTATAACTGAAGGAATTTCATGAGCACGACGCCCAAGTTTTTCAGTGAAATCCGTTCCGTCCATGGATCTCGTGTGATTGACATTTATAACTCTTAATGATAAATTAAAGACTGATAATGTGCACGTGAATGGAAAATGCAAGTTCATTTGGTTGCGAAAATTAGGTCAGTATCTAAACTACCTGGGAGGGGGAGGGGTTCAAGGTGGGTAAGAATCTTGGCTCCGTGTTTCGGTTGCTCAAATGGTGGCCAGAGGGCTCTGTATAAATGCTTTCTCATTCCTCGTGAGAACTCTTGGCCGAAATCAGGGGAAAACGCGCTCGGTCACCAAAACATTCTAACCAACAAAATGCTTTGTTGACGTTTGTTGGTAATGTGCTTACGATGGAAAATTAGACAGATATGCTTCTTGCCACCATTTAGGACTTCCTATCAAAAAACCACCACATTTGTGGATAGAGCAAAGGATTGCTCAGAAAATCGGTTGACTGAAAATGAGATGGTTGAGTGCAAAAACGGTTCCGGGGAAGAGTTTAATTCAAACTGCACAAACATTGCAGAGATTTTCACTGGAATTTTGCGTTCAACTTACTCCAAAATAAAAAACGGCGCCAAAGTGGGTTGTACACAGGATAATCTTGTGTTTTGTTTCATTTCAAACGTTATCCGCTCTATTAATCTCACCAGAACAACTCGAAAGAACGGTGGATATTAGAAAGCTTCCATTGTGTTTTACCAGTGTTTATTGACAAGTACTGAACGTCACTCTTAAAAGAGAACACCCAAATGGAGAGAGCAAATTTAGTCAATCCTCATGATGTTCGTTTTAGGCGGAGGGGAGTATTATAGACGATTCAAGAACCACCTGCATTCATTGAGTTTGAAGAAATGAGACAGTTTTTGAAAAAAATATTTTCAATAAATCATCCTTTACATAATCAAAATTTTTGGTATTCATGGATATGCTCGTATTTTTTTCCCTAAATCAACTAGCGTACATATAGCACAGAGGGAAATCACAGTGAGAATCACTTACTTTCCAATTGGGGGTTTCGGTCTTTCCAACGGTCCAAGTGGCTTTCTTTGCTCAAGTGGAGGAAGGCGGTCGCGTAACCGATCTGCATCGGCTTGAGTTATCACCTTCCATCGATCTGATCCTTGCTTCACATGCTCGCGATATTCTTTCATCAATTCGTCTAATTCCTCATCAGTGAGCATATCACGCAAGTCGTGCTGATAGGCCATGGTACGAAACTGGGTCTGATTTCTCTCAGCCCATTTGGCCATCACTTGAATTTGTCGGAATTGTTTTTCCATGCTGGGTGCTTTCAGTCTACCCATGGCTTCGGCCAGGCTTGCCGAAGGATTGGACCGCACAAAATCGCAAAGGGGAGGCTATAGAAATAAGTACAATGGACTCAGGTTACAAGATGATACAGGTCTCCTTGAAAACCATAGGAATATAATTTCTCTCAGATACATGTGGTAGCCATGATGTAGCCATTTTCGTGATACCTATTTCAGCCCATGGTAGATTTTACTTTCAATGACCAGGGATTAGTTGCCATGGTTTCTTCTCTTCAGCACCGCTACTACTATCATTCATAGTACTACTACTACTACTACTACTACTACTACTACTACTACTACTACTACTACTACTACTACTGCTACTACCATTACTACTACTGCTACTACCATTACTACTACTACTACTACTGAGATACCACTCACATTTATAAGTAGCATTGTTAGAGTATGAAAAGGTGCAACTAACAGTTTCTCACAACGGTCAAAAATGAACAAGACCTCCCGGAGCGCATTGTTGTGTTCAAAATGGTAACTACAGAAAATATGCGTCTTCCGTGGGACCGTTACATTAATTATCCAACGTGATAGTGAGAACTATCATGAACTGTTCCAAATGAGATGTTTTGTTGTATGTACTCCAGTTTAGTTTTATCATTACTGTTGTTCGTCCCGGCATTGCCTTGTGGAAACTTAACACCACCACTACCAATGCTACTACTACTATTACTGCTACTACCAGTCCTATTGCATGGGGTAGGAATCCCACGAGCGGTGACTTTGGTGCACTGATATGTTCATAGAAACACTGAACGCAGCAAGATAACCAGATTAATGATTCTGGATTGGCTCGTCTACTTTTGTGTCCACTCTCGCATTAGAATTTATTTCTTGGTTTCCACAATATTCTCGAGACTTTCGTATTCCAGAGAATTATTACTATGACTCAAGGATAATCAGTATTGCTTCGTGTCATCCAACTCACATGGTTTCATCCTCACTGGATTTTCTCATAGGAGCAAGAAACGCAAGCGTGCGGTGTGGTAGACCGCTCTCGCATAAACGCCTACTAAAAAGATCATTGTTCCCTCATTGGTCAGTTCAAACATTCGCTTGCTGTTAAGCAAATTGGCTGATCTCAGTGATCTACGAACTTATGGCGTGCGCACAAACACGTGTGCCATATGCATAGAGGAATTGTGATTAAACGACTAAAGAGAGGAACTGCTGCTGGCTTCGCATATTTTAGCAAAACAAAGAAAGAAACACAAAGAAGGCCGGAGGGGGGAGGGTAATAACCTACATTAACTCCAGTTGGTGCTGTAAGTCTGAAACTTTGTTTGGCTTCTCCTGTAGTGGTACTGACTGCCTCCTTGTTTCTTGTCGACCTAGGTTTACCTCTTTTCAGAGCGCAATTATTACCAATCTCTATATTGATCCTTTTTGATCGGAAATCGAAATCAATTACTTTTGATGTACTCATTCAAATTGTCGCTGCTTACCCTCCAGCATAATTATTTATCGCAATTCAGCAGAACACTATCTGGCTCGTAGTTAAACCGAAAAGATCTGAAAGGAAGTGATTTTGAACCTAAAAGGATGATATTTTGTTTAAGTGTCATCATTGTCATATATAAACTTTTAATTTTTGTCCCATTGTAACGGTGAACACATTTTTCGGCCGTAATGTAGGCATGGTTTCCTGCACAAGTCAGTACCATATAATACAACACAAACACACATTATTTGCTAACCGAAAACCCTTCATTGAGAGAATGACGAGATTTGGAAGAGGATCTTTGACAGTAATACTCGAGTCAAAGTCCCTTTCTGGTGAAACTGTTTCTGACACGACACTTATCAGAGGGATCAGTGGTTTCAAGACCATTGAACATGGATGAATTTGCATAAGTGGTGTAGGCGAAGTCAGACTTCTGGGCTGCAAATCGAGACCAAAATCAGTTGTTTCTGGAACCAGTTTGTGAAATGTTTGATTCTGGAGCTGTGCTCATATATTGACTATGTCTAATATTGTTAATTCAAAGTAATTCGAGTGAAACGTAATTTCACGCTTTCTGTGTTACAATCTATCAGGTCTCTAAGCCATCGGTTTTGAGCGCTTCGAACTACGATCATGGGAAGAAATAAGATGGGCAAATAACACTCGGCATCAAATCGAACTACTAACTCTATAAAAATAAATAAATAGAACAGAAACCTACCCTCAATTGTCCATTCAACACTTGTTCCCGTGTAAAGGCAGAAAATGTCTGACGTCCATCCGCATCCAACTCCTGTTCTTTTTCCGCAAGCAGTCCATTTGATTTGTTCCGTAAAAACTCCCAAACTCTATGTGCCCCCGGATTTCCTCCTGTGTGTAGTCGCAACATGTCCAGCAAGGTGAACACGCTGCTCGGTCGATGGATTCCCTGGCTCACGGACAGTGTACTGGCCAAGCTGATTGTGGACCATCTGCGATAGATACTTTCTCTTCGACCAGAAGTAGAATTCAAACTCCCCAGGTTCTCGAAACTCACCGGCTCGGACAACCATGGGGATAAGTCCATTCGAAAAGGGATTCGTGCCCCCTGAAGCATACCTGTCGGATAGCCACCCAGAATGAGTGGTTCCGTGCTGTCCTCGGTGACCCGAGCCTGACGGTGTTTGGCCGAGTTTCGGGAAGAGCGAAAAAATACGGGATGAAAAAAGTAGGAAACCGCATCTGGTCCCCACAATTTTTCCAAATATTGTTCATGCAAATCCGATTCACTGTCATCCTCATCAAGGTTCTTTTTAGGATCCTGAAAACAGATAAACAGAAAGGCGGATAGACAAAAAAACGGATGAATGTAATTTGCAAATTTGTGCGCCATAATTTTCTTATGTAAACGGAAAATAAGAATATTCACTAAGTATCCAGAACTACTGCGCACGCTCTTGTTATTTTTTCATAAAAGCCATGTAGAATCCTCAGATGCGTTTCTGATTTCAGTTTCTCTCAAGATATACATTCATATACAAAAATGGCACTGCTGCGTACGTTGTTCTTCTTTTATTTGATCGTAAGAAAAGTGTCCCACGCCTAATTAATAGTCTCTTGTATTAGAAATTTTCTGTATTACAATGTTGAACTTCCTTCTCTCTTAAACTTTGATATCCAAATATGTTCACTTTGTGAATTCACAAACTACCGAGAATTGGTATGCATACAGTCAAATCCAGCTAATGTCATACCTCGAGAAAGCGCTAATTTTCAAAGCACAGATTTATTATCACTATAACCTCGCTCGTGTTGCACTTAGGCATCATCTCATAAAATGCGCCAGTGGGCAACTCATAGAACATGCAACATACAACCTTCGTAATGTCCCCAATATTTTCGGTTGCAAAGACCATCCATCGAGTAGAGCAATTATTGATTAAAAGTAGAATTTACGACTGATTATGAATGCATCCGAGTGTGTCAAGAGGAGCAGCGAAACCAAGCAAGGTGGTTCTCGATTGGGAGGGGGGCGGACTCAATGAATGTGTGCGCACGCCCTAGTTCAGCCAGCAAATTAGGAACGGTGAAGAACAATATGGATACTCACCGAACACCAGTGGTTGATTCTTGTGACACTGCAAAGCCTTTCTGTTAGTTACATGGACTCACCTCACACACTTAGCTTTCTTATCTTTGTTTCATTCATGATTGCCGGAGTACATTGATTCCTTCTAAAATGCCTGGTCTCAGACAGTCAGGAGCTAAATAATGTGCTCAAAGTCGCGCTATTGAACGAATTTGCGGGTGGTATGAGTCCGCATCTTTGTAGATGAAGGTGTGAAGTCCATAACAACTGTTTTATCTACACCATCGGGAAATAAACACGAGACCATGGGGGAAGAAACGTAACGGAAATGGAAAGATTTTGCCCTTCAGTAAAGTAATATCATCCATCGATCGATGGCGTGATGTAGCGCCGATGTGGACTGGCGTAACAGGTTAACATACTTGTCTCTGTTCTGAATCTTGAGGACAAGTCAATGCGCAAGTCAATGTTCTAAGCTGAATGGCACCCGGCTAACCTTAAAGTTTATAAAAGTTAGTTAGCAGATTCAAAAGATCAATGGTATGATAAATAACTTGGCGGCAGTCATGGATAAGGTGTGCTTCAAGGAAATGCTAACGGTGATTATGTAACATCAGCAAATTTGAAGAAACCTTGCCGAACCACAAAAGATGGTGAAAACTTTAAAGTTGTCTCTCTAGAATTGCTATCGCATGTTATATCGTCATCCAACCGGAACAGATAGATAATGTAGTGGGTAGTCACAAACATGCATAGTTTTCCAAATCTTCTTACCTGATTAAGTATTTCAGGTTAACTGCTGCAGTGGTTATTAACCATTATGAGGCAATGACTCACTGTATCACAATTACCGACATTTGACAAAACATGCATGTGACGATATAGATCACATAGTACCTCAGCAGGGACGACTGGTTTTTGCAAATTTATGCTTGAGTTGCTGTGGCATATCTATCCCAGTCTGGCTGGTTAGTGTTTAATAACTACTCTGTAGTTTCATGGATTGCATTGTCATTCACCTTGCATTATTTACTTCTGTCCATCATCGGGAATCCTCGTTCTAATTTTACGCACTGCCACGTCAAATAAGTGTGGGATCCTGTGGTTCACAGGAAGCACGCCCATTGTTCGATTCTCTAATGGCGGTTTAATTTGTTCAGTTTTTCAGCAAGCAGACTCATAACCGGTTCATAGTCACCTTGATTCATCTGTATCACTACTCTTTATTACCTCAGGATATACTCCATATTAAGTGATATATTTTCTACTTTCGAACTAGTTATAAAATTTTGGTTTGTAGTGTTTGTCACTTATAAATGTGTATTCTTCAGCAGATAGCTGGGATGATAAAGGAATGACTTCTTTTAATATCACAGATTAGTTTGCATTCCGGCTTTTATTTCCAGCAACCGAAAACGCGAGCTTCGTTTCAGATCCGTTTTGGACGATATTGCTCTGGTTTGTGTGGATAATGTGCCAAAATGCATCGCAGCAAATAGTGAAAAAAGAAACCAACAGGCAGTCAAAGGTTGCATAAATGTAATTCAGGTAAATACATGGAATGCGAGAAAACTAAGTGTGTATGGAAATCGAACAGCTGTACAAGTGTTGCTATTTACGACACTTCCTCTAAAAGATGAAATATCTAGCCAGCTATAAGATTCATTCCGGAGAGCTTTAACTTATGAGCACTTATGAGCAAGGCCATCGACCAAGATTTCCGCTGTCCCATTCCAAGCCTTATAACCATTACCATTTTCCGACTACGATTGAGGAAGTCAATCCACCGACATGTGTGGCATAAATGCTATCCGTATAGATAAAGCTCTTGATCAAGTGCATACGCACGATCAAGCTGTAGACTTTGTCTACTTCCCGTCGGACTGTTTCGCAGAGAGCGTTCCTGAAGCTTTGCGAGCAGTTTTCTATTTTCTTTTTGCATTTTACGCTGGTATTTCTGTATCATATTGTAGCTCTGGCCAGCAAACGTCGAAAGATTAAGAATATAATGGCCTGAGACTTCAGTTTTGAATTGTTGAAGAATGAAGCAGTTGCGGTTCCAGATGCAACACCTCACTGTAATAAATAGCGTCCGTGGGCTTGACAAAAAAGATACCACGAAAAAATAGTTAAGACATTTTTGTGATAACTCCACTCTGTGGGAAAATTCTATAGAATGTGAATGAGATATGAGTGGGTGGGATGAGGATGGGATGGCTGGTAAGAGAGAGAAACAAAACATTCCGCTAAATGCAGACACTTTCACACATTATAGCCTTAGATGCATTGAGGAATTCATTCTCTCTATAATATGAATGTTTTAATTCTGTAATTAGACGGCTAAACTCACTTCGATCGAAGTGCCATCCACGGCAAGAACGCTTTCTGCATTCTCCTCTTTGACCGGTTCAAAACGAGTGTGCGGTGAAACAGAAAACACAACAGGTTCTTCAATCATTTCAGACGACTGTTCCATCGGTGAAGATTAGAATCTCTGAAACTAAAGAACAATGCGCATGAATAAATCACATTCTGAAGCATGAAAAAGTGAATTTTTCTGCGGGATTACAGCTAGACCTCTTCTGGATGATCGAATGCAGGGTATATAGTTGAAAAGAATAAAAAGATGCAGGTCAGTAAACTAGAGATCTCCTATAGGTAATGAAGAGGTTCAGTTGATCCTATCCAAAACACAGTTTTCGTTGAAACACATCATAAGCTACCTCCTCTGATCACTCAAACGCTCCGTTGAGGTGATTTTGTTACCATTGGGCGTGATTGGGAAATATAACTCATTCCCTGTTCGATTCACGGCTTGAAAAAGACAAATCAACGAGAGGCGACCGGAAACTCTAACGGGTACGAGCTAAAGAGAAAGCCGCTAATTTGGACTTTGCCTGCGATTAACTATGGCCGCCTAACGCTCAACACTCACCTAAAATCAAGCAATGTGAAAGAACAAAAGCAATAAACCGCGGTCAAATCCTTTCTCTCCCGCTTCTTTTGTTTTTCTCCGCTATGTCTGTCAATGCGGATAAGGATTAACTGTACAAATTGGCACTGCAATTTTGATTGGTTTCTTACGTGAAAAAAAGACTGATAGATATAAAACAAAATGCAAATTAAATCCAGGGGAGCAAACGAATACGCGAAGGCCATCATACACACAAATAGTGTCTTACGCACAATGCCACATTGTTGCGAATCTAATAAATCAAAAACACAAGATCTAACACACCCTACAGATTGTCAATATGTGGTTTTGTTTCAGGTAACTTCAGTGCAATCGGTGCTGGGACAAGGCTGACTTCAACAGATTGCACGAATCTAGTCGAACAGTCGGATAAATAATACCAAGGTTAGATGCAAACTTCTAGGTGATCACAATAGGACACTGATATAAGTGCTAAACCTCCGTGGATTGTAATGACTGGAGCACATTCTACCCGACAGGTTTCCTCAAAAGGTAGTAGTTGAAGGAAGATTAATGGTGGTCATACAAAGATCTAGCGTGAAGGTGAGAAACCCTAGACAAGCGATTTTCCGTCATATAGGCTTCTCGGTTGAGGATCTCAAGAAAATCAAAACAATCAAAGGTTGGAAATAAAGAGTGATGCGAGTGTTGTAAAAAGTGGCACTCGTGTATCTGCTCACTTTCTATACAGATCTACTTCACTTTCTGTAACTCCCCTTTGATCGACAGTGCTCTTAGCTTCAAACTGCTTGATTTACCCCTTCCTTGTTAGTAGACCAGCTGGGTAGCCGAAATGAAGCAACTCTAAAACTGCGGCACAAAAGTACAACGACAACGGTTGGGTAAAATTAAAAGTGAAGTTGAATGGCACACATTAATGAAATGGATAAGCATTAGACAATCCTTTTGGTGGTAATCGAGTGACCAAAATCACCAACTAATGGCTACGGAGGACGTGTATTCAAATCATACACCTTACCGGTGAGGACCCACGCTATAATTTGGCTAATTGTAATGTGTTTTAAGTGGAAGAAGTTTTATAACTATTTGAATTTTATGTACTAACTTTTCTCATATCTTTATAGTAAGGAAAGATAAGTTGAATGAGGAGGTTCATTTCTGATCTTGAAGTAGTTGAAGACAGTGAAAACCTTGAGGTTTTCAGCGGGTAGAAGACCAATATGAAACTAGAATTTTGCCTATGCTGCAGCGTTGTAACTATCGGGAACAACTGTGCACACCGATCGGTAGTTCACGTACCGCTCTTTATGCTCCCTCGGGTGTGTACAAGTGCCATTGGATCTGTCGGTGACTTTATATAGGAATATCACGATGATGTGGTTTGAGTTCTCCATCCAGACATCCCACGATAACGTTGATAGATTTCTGAAACGCATAGGGGAGTTATGTCCTTGTGGACCATTTGATAAATACTTTTGTCAACGTTTATATGGGATGATAAGCATTGTTCTTGCCAAACCGAAATTAGTTTTCTGATGAAATATCATACTACTAATGAGTAGCACGATTGAATTACCGTCATTCTGCCCAGAGTGGGTCTCAGCCGTTAACGTTCGCCAGCACGGATGAGCACTATGCTATGTACTGTTCAAGGTAAATCAATCTCTGGAGTCATCCTAGGCTGCCTATCAGTAACGTGTGAGACAAGCAATCATTCAGTCCCAAGTTTGACGGATATGCCTGACTGTCTATCCCGAATAGGAATGGAACGGTTCTGGAGGCCTTTCAGTGAGAAGTGTTGCACACGCACATTCTATGACAAAACCCTTTTAACCATTTACTCTCCTAGAATGCAAAAAAGTCTGATTGGCTCCTCATTATAGTTTACTACAAATAGCGTTTGGGGCGGATAATAATCGATCTTCAGAGAATCTTTCTTAGAATGTAATACACGTTTTCCCGAGTAGTTGTGATGAATTGCCAATGTATTAGAAGTATTTAAAAATACACGTTAAACTTTCCTACACACACACACACACAAGCAAACACATACACCCTCCCATTACTCTCTACCTCCGAATATTGACTTTAAATTGAGCCAATGGCTATGATTATGTAAGAATTTTTTCCACTATATGATATGCAAGAGCATGACTAGGAATATCCGAAAACAACTGTTCGCTCACCGACTCGTTTTCTCAATGCTATCATGGGAATATTCAAGCTTTTATTTAAAAATACTGAACATTTTATCAAAACGTTGGAGTAGGCTAACTTATAAAGTAATGCTGTACCGTATGAATGGTGTTTTGTAGTGATTCGATATACCTCTATAAGACTGAAACATGAAAAAGGTCGGGTGTTTGAGTAAAAATAGAGAAAACAAATTAAAATAGGGTTGAATGAACAAAAAGAATTTGATAGCTTTTGTTTAAGATTTTTTGTGATTTTATGGAATTTTGTATACACTTCAAAATATTGTGAGATATTTTTTGGTGGATTTTCATATAATTGGGAGAAATTATTGATTTATTTGGTCACAATCGAACGAGGGGTTGGAAGAGTTTCAAATAAGTTCTGAGCTGCAAAATAAATGATACTAATACAAAATTTTCTGCAGTATTCTTTTCTTTCCAAAAGATCCATAAACTTCTAGAGTCAATCCTATTTTAAAATTCATGAACTCCTCTCGTGAATAGGATTCATATTATCAAATTCATTGGGGTCACCTCAACAAAAAAGAGAATTCTTTATATATCTTAAGATGAATACCAGTTTTTTTGGGGTAGAGGAACTGTTATGCGGATGATCAAAACTAGAGTTTATACTGAAAAACGATGATAACAAAATATCCAGGCACCTAACAGAATGTGGTCTGGGTTTTGCTAATAGCATAAAACTGGGAAATATATAATGGATAAATGAACTTCAAACTTATTACACCATAGCCTAGTTCCAGGTAAAGGGGAAGACATAATGTGTGAGCAAACTGGGACCCAGAGAAAATACCAATAAACAAAATAAAATAAAAAATATTAAAAACTAAACCTCAGGCTCAATTCGGAAAACACACTTTCTAATTTGAGCACAGGGACAACACGCAGTGCCCTCCAATGTAAATCAAAATATTGCGATAGCTGGTTCAATGATCGTACAAGACCACATTGTGGATTGTAATCTGTCTCGCCTTATTTTCTTCCTTTGAACCAAAAGCTTAACGCGATGGCAAAGACCAAATATTTCATTTCGCCTGTTCACCAACCTTGGAAATTTGCTTGCAAACGTTTCAGCTTCCGCCGAGGTGACAGTATGAAGTGATGACACATTCGTCATCTTGAAGAACTCGGAACTAGAAAGAACACACAACATCAATAACACTTTCATTGATATCAAGTTCCCAATGGAGACGGAGAAGGATAATGAAGTGGTATTTTTGGACATCTTGATCACCAGAACGCCATCAGGAAACTGGAGACAACGGTCTACCGCAAAGTA